GGCGTGTCCCCCAGCTGCACTGACACATTGACGTTGGACAGCGAGGCACACAGGATGATGGGCGCTATGATTTGGGGATAGCTCCTGCACAGGACAAGCGGGGACGGGCTGTCACTGGGGCACCGCGTGCCACAGAACCTGGCAGGGAGCCGGCCCAGAGGGATGCCCTCTTTGCAGGGGCCCCTCCGACTGCCTGCCACCCCTCTGTACCAGCCTCCCTGTCCCACAGGCTGTGCACAGGGCAGATAAGGTGCTGGGTGCCGAGGCACCCTGCCAGAGCGCGGGCAGGCAAGAGGAAACAAGCTGCGATACCAGCAGCTGCGCTGAGGCTGAGTTTACCTTCCCTTGTGCCCTTGGCTGGGGGCAGGCACCGCCTGGCACCAGTATTCCTGTGCCAACAGGCCCAGCCAGTGCGAAAACTCTTGGTGCCGGTAGTGAATGATGCAGGTGTTGAGCAGCACAGCAGCCGAAAGGTCAATGGCTGTGACCTAGAGCAGGGCAAGCTGCGATACCAGCAGCTGCGCTGAGGCTGAGTTTACCTTCCCTTGTGCCCTTGGCTGGGGGCAGGCACCGCCTGGCACCAGTATTCCTGTGCCAACAGGCCCAGCCAGTGCGAAAACTCTTGGTGCCGGTAGTGAATGATGCAGGTGTTGAGCAGCACAGCAGCCGAAAGGTCAATGGCTGTGACCTAGAGCAGGGAGAGGGCAGGGTGGCAAAAAGCTCGTACCAGGAGCCAAACCAGCCTCCCCCAGGGACAGGAGCATGGCCAGGGCTTGCTCACCTGCACACTGGTCTTCAGGGAGTTGAGGCACACGATGCGCTGGCGGCTCTGGGACAGGAGAAGGCCATCTGCAGAGAGACAGGAGCAGATGTGAGGGGTGGTGGAGGGCAGTGATGGCAGCCCTGTCCCGCGGGCACCCTCCTGGCTACTTGCCCTCCAGCTGGAGGTCTACACTCATTTGGTCCAGGTCTGAGGTGGGCGTGAAGTTGCGCAGCGGGATCTGCTCCTCTTCACGCTGATATAGAAACTGCAGCAGCTTCAGGCTCCAGGTGAGGTGCCTATAAGAAGCAGGGAGTCACCGTCAGAAGGGAAACTGCACCGTCAGGTCCTCCATCTCCCCATCCCTCATCCCCAGCTGACCGCCACGCTAGCACAAAGACATCAGCCAGTGCCCAGCTGCAGCCCAGCCCAGCACCCTCATCCCATCAGCAGAGGACTCCCATCAAGCTGTCCTGCTGGAGAACTAGCTGACGTGCCTTCCTCCTTCCCCAAGAGCCCGGCCCCAGGCCAAGCTCAGTCCTTCCCACTGGCAGAGCAGGGGATGAGCACAGCTGTCCCCAAGTCTCTCTCCCCAGTGCTGATGGGGGCTAGGACAGCCTCCCCCTCCACCTGCCTCCTTACCTCTTCTGGCTGTTCATCGACAGCACCATGCTGCTGTTCTCCAGCTTCACCTCCATCCTCCTGGGAATAAGCTGCAGTGTGTCCCTGCTCAGCAGAGACAGGGACTTCAGGGGCTCCCCCGGGCCTGGAGAGAGACACAGAATCACGAGAAGGCTCTTGCCCAGACCCCTGCTCCCTGCAGTGGGTGGCAGCGATGGCACAGCCAAATCCCTCTGGCTGTAGTGCAAGTGTGGTCACTGCCAGCCCCTGCCCTGGCCAGGGCCCATCCCCATCCCTGACCTGCACTGGGCTGTTCCCCCACGCTGCTGCGCTGGGTCCCGGCAGCGATGCGGTGCAGCAGTGGGCTGCAGAAGAGCCCTTCGTGCAGCTCTGCCTGCAGGGTCCGGATGCACAGCCTGACGCCCACCAGCCGCTGCTTGCTGCTGATCTCCAGCGAGAGGGAGAGTGCCAGGGCCAGCTCCGCCAGGCAGGTGTCATCCTGTACATAGACACGGGCAGGGAGCATGCAGGGAGTCACTCAGCTCCCTGCTGGTGGATGCTGCAGGTGAAGCTCTGGGCACAGCATGGAGCCCAGAGCCTTGCAGCATCACCCAGCCTCTGAGACACGCTGGAACAGGTCCTTGGGGTGTCCCAGAGAGCCAGTGCCCAGGCCCAAAGTGCTGAATTTCACCCTTCCCCAGCACTCACCAGCTGGCTGCTCCGGAGCACTTTGCTGTTCATTTTTGTCAGGCTCACCTCGCAGGTCAGGCTGGGGAGAGCAGAGACAAGACGGAGGTTGCAGGCCCCACTGCCTCCAAACCGAGTCCCTGCCCTCCCTTTACTGTGGGATACAGGGACCCCAAGTCCCTGCTCCAAGTCCTCCCAAAAGTAGAGCACACCCTAACTCAGTGCACAGAGCAGCAACTCCCAATTTGGAGAACACACAACTCTAGCTTCCCGTGAAGGAAAAAGGGATCAGGCCAGCCTTGGAGGAGGTTAATGTGTCACATCACAGGTGACATGAGATGCTATGGAGCGGGATGGGGTGAGGGGTGAGACAACAGAGAGTCTGTTTGAGGTCAGAGGAGCCTCTCAGCCCCACAGGGACCCAGGGCCAGGCTGGGGCAGCAGAGCAGAACGTGAGCACAGCGTTACCTCTTGCCATCGCCGTTCAGGAGGAGACGGGTCTTGCTGGCCTGGATGTGCCAGAGAGACTCTGAGGTGGCCACGTGCAGAACCATGACGTTGATGGAGTCCATGTGGATGGAAAAGAGCTGGGGGGAAGGTGCTACTGTGAGGGATGTCTGACAGCAGCGCAGCCCCCAACAGCCTCTCACTGAGCCAGTGCCTCACCTGGCTAAGAAGCCTCAGCAGGGAGGGCTTAAGAGTCAGGTCAGCTCTACTTTCATTTCCATTGGCTTCTCTGGGAGCCTCCGGGACGGACTGCTGGAAGCCAGGGCTCTTCTGGAGATCAGTGCGGATTCGCACCTCGCCAAAACACAGCTCAAAGTAGCGCCTGCAGAAGCACAGCACAGACAACTCTTACAACAGCTCACACAAGGCACAGCCGGCCCCATCGCCAGGGATGCCTCCCACCCCAGGGACGTGCAGGACTGGCACAAGAGCATCCACAAGACACTGCCACCCTGAAGAGAGGTGCTTCACTCCCACACAGAGCAGAGCATGAGGAAACTGGCACTGCAGAAGGGTGTAAAGGCAGCAGAACCGCAGTCAGCGAGGACAGGGATAAGCCAGACCCCGCAAAGACAGCAAGGAGGGAGCTGGGATAGAGGTACATACGGCAGCTCCCGGCTCAGTTTACTGGATATCCAGACGTTGTCGATCTCCTACAAAGATGCACAGGTAGGTCAGAGAAGCAACAACCTGGTTCTGCCTTGTGATGCTCATCTTGACATTCCCACTCTGCTCCCAATGCCTGGCATCATGCGGGGAGCACCCAAAAACCCCGAGTTTGGCAATGGAAGGAAGGGCCTGGCATCAGCTATGGGGCTGTGCAACAGGAGCTTGGCTGCAGGGACTTGCTGCCAGCCTGGAAGTG